TGTTGTAACATAGTAAATGAGAAACTGAGCTCAGAAAGGGAAAGAGATTTCTACAAGGTTATCTATGCCTTTGAGCAGAGGGATTTTTAGCCCGTGCCTGCTTTTTATTCTGTGCATTGAAGACTCGCCTCCTTCCGAATTCTCCTCTGTAGGATGTGGCTGCTCATCCAGAGGTGAGGCTGGCCCCCGCCTCCCTCGGTCTGTGTCCCCACCGTGAAAAACACTGCCTGCTGCAGAAACCCCCTCTCAGGAGCTTTTCCGTATGTGGCTTTTCATGACGTTGGCCTCGGGACACCCGACCAACACTCGCTGGTCCCTTTAACTTGTTTCCTGTAGAGTGCAGGCTCTGCAGCCAGGCCGCCGAAGCCCACAGCCCAGCCCCACGTTTCCTCGCTGTGGAAGGTGTCAGAGCTCAGCTCAGCGCTGGGTGCAGAGCACCTTACTTGGCTCTTCTGCACCTCGGTTTCCTATCTGTCAGATGGTGTGATCTTTAGGGTTGTTACGAGGATTAAGTGAGATGAAAAGTACTTAAACAGTGCCAGCACACAGTAACATCTCAGAACCGTTAGCTCCTCTCATTTGATCAGACTTCTGTATTACTGTTAATTCTTTACATTAAAATGTTTTACTATAAAATTAGATTTTTAGGATTTCGTGGGGACTTTTTATTTTGGGAAGGAAGTTTGATGAGAGCTACCTATCTCTCTTCTCTCATTTCAGCCTTTTCCAAAAGTAGGGCTCTAGAAAAGAATGATTTTCCTTTCGGTAGCATATTCTTAAACACACACACACCCCAACTTGCTTTCCTAAAAACCCCGAGGCCCTGCAATCTGGCTAGAAAAGAAAGAAAACCATTCCAAGATATTTAATTGTGCAGGGAGCTTACAGGATTGATCGAGAGCTTAGCTTTTTACAATAGTCCAGTGAATAAGAAATGCTCCTGACAAACGATCAATGATAGGATAATCACTCTTTATCCCCCTCCTCATTCTTACCTTCTTTCTTTCAGGAGAACAGGGTTCAGAAGTCAAAAATCTTTATAGACGCCGCTTTTAAATTAAGCAGAAAATAGACATTGACATATTTGTTAATCTCCCCTAAATCATTACCGGGGCTGGCTGCTTTGCTGTACAAGGCGAGAGGGCTCTCGGCGTGCTGCACAGGCTCTGTCTGGCTTCAGAGCGGCATTTTAGTTTTAGAAAATAAATTTTAAAAGACCTTTTATCTCCCCCTTAAGACAAAGCACACACATCCTCGGCTTTCTCGTGTGCATTTAAAATACATACATTCTCTACCTCTGTCTTTCCTTTGCTTTGATGCTTTTTGGAGGTGGGCCCTGAGCTGAAGGGCTCAAGTGAGGCAGCCTTTGGGGGGATGCTCTCTGATCTTCCTAGTCTCCGGGGGCGGAACATTACAGGTATTTATTTTGGCTTCCTTCCTCTCTCTCTCCCTCCTTACTTTAAAATATATTTTTATTGATTTCAGAGAGGAAGGAGGGAGGGGGAGAGATAGAAACATCAATGAGAGAATCATTGATCGGCTGCCTCCTGCACGCTCCCTTCCTGGGGATTGAGCCTGCAACCCAGACATGTGCCCTGATGCTCTATCCACTGAGCCAAACGAGCTAGGGCTATTTTGGTATTACTTCAAAGCTCTAGAACAGCTTGATTGGGTGGACACGACCTTTGTTAGTCCAGGAGCCAGCCTTCTCTCCCTCCACCGTGGTGAAGCCAAGGCCTTGTTTTCACAATGCTCTGCTCCCAAGCTCATCAGTCAGTCCCTCTGCTCCTAGTGCCAAGCCGGGCTCTTGACCCCTCTCAACCCAATGAGCCAAGCTCTCTGGCCGATTCCCCTCAGTGGCAATCACTGCTTATGGCCTCAGGTTCCATTCAATGTGGAGGAACCCCGGCCTCAGGGACACCAGCCCCAAGTGCACATCCTGACTTTGCAGCTTAAGAGCTGGATGCCACTGGGTAAGTCACATTGCGGTCTTTTCAGGACCTTGGTTTTCTCGTTTGTAAAGTAGACGCCCATTTTATAAGGTTGGGTTTTTATAAGGATTAGAAATGATGTATGTGAAGCAACTTGGAAAGTGCGCTGTAATATTGAGGTATTCAGCTGGCGGCAGTGGTAACAGCTGACCAGACCTAAGTCTGCATTGTGTCGGTGACTTAGGAGCTATGTGATCCTGAAAGCATTGAGTGCAGTGCCTGGCACATAGGAAATCCTCGGTAAACCGTATGTGTTATATTATAGATGATGCACATATACATAGATGTGCATATGAGCGCAATGTTGGTTGGTTGGTTACCCAGAAGAGAATGCTGTAGGTCTGAAACGTTCTATTCAGCCGTACCCATGATCCTGCCATTCCTCCCCCGCCCCCAGCAGAGCTAGTGTCGATTTTGGTTTTCACAATTACGGGAGGAGCTACCCTTAAGTCTGCAGTCTGACTTAGAATAGGGATTACTGGAGACATCGTCTTCGTCTCAGTTGTGGAATGGGACTAAGATGGCGCTTCAGCAGCACCAGCCAGGAGGCTGCTGCCATCATGCAGCCTTCTCTGAAATCAGAGGGACATGCCACTGAAGCACGTGTCTCCACTGCCCCAAGTGAGCACAGAGACAGCATTGCATGGTGTCCAAAAGCTGATGCTGCCCGCAGCCCTGGCGTGCCCTTCTCGGTGAGGTATGTCCGTTCTCAGCACCTCAGTCTCCTCTCCTGTACAGTGAAGATAATAAGAATGCCAATCTCCTAAGGCTGCTGTAAGGATGAAATCAGTTAATAGATATAAAGCTTTTCTTTTTTTTTTTATTAAGGTATATGTGTACATATCTTACCATTGTCGTCGTCCCCCCCACTCCCATATATGCCCTCCCTCTCCAGAGTTTTTCGTCCATTAGTTATTCTTATATGCATGCATACAAGTCCTTCGGTTGATCTCTTATCTCCCCCATATCTCCCTACCCTTCCCGCTGTAATTTGACAGTCTGTTGCTTTACTGTCTCTGTATCTGTCTTTTTGTTCATCAATTTATAATGTTCTTTATTATCCATAAATGAGTGAGATCATGTTGTGTTTTTCTTTCATTGACTGGCTTATTTCACTCAGCATAATGTTCTCCAGTTCCATCCAGGTTGCTGCAAATGATAAGAATTCCTTCTTTTTTATGGCAGCATAGTATTTCATTGTGTAAATGTACCATGGTTTTTTGATCCAATCATCTGCTGACGGGCACCTAGGCTGTTTCCAAATCCTAGCTATTGTAGATTGTGCTGCTCTGAACATAGGGGTGCATATATCCTTTCTGATTGATGTTTCTAGTTTCTTAGGATATATTCCTAGGAGTGGGATTACTGGGTCAATGGAATTCCATTTTCAGTTTTTTGAGGAAACTCCATACCGTTCTCCACAGTGGTTGCACCAATCTGCATTCCCACCAGCAGTGCACAAGGGTTCCTTTTTCTCCGCAACCTCGCCAACACTTGTCGTTTGTTGATTTGTTGTTGATAGCCATTCTGACAGGTGTGAGATGGTACCGCGTTGTTGTTTTGATTTGCATCTCTCAGATATAAAGCTCTTAGAACAGTGCCTCATACCCTGTAAATATTAGCTTTGATTATTGATTGTATGCATTGGGGAGCCTCAAAAAAACAAAACAAAACATTTTTTTTTTTTTTTTAGTTGGGCCTATTTATTTATTTGTACTTTCCTGGTTTGGAAAGAAGGCTGCTGAGGTGTCAGGGGCCAGAGTGGCCAGTCCGTGGCTATCCTCCGTGTGGGAGCCCAGGAAAAGACAGCCTCCAGCTCTGTGCCTTACAGTTTTAAAGTAGCGATGGTGTGTGTGTTTTAACGTAGAGGTGTGCATCCAAAAACCTCATAAAAATGGAAGTAGGTACTATAGTTACATCCCCGTTCTATTAACATGTGTTTATATATAATACTACGGCTCACTCAGCAGCCCAAGGCTGTTTACGGCATATGATTCATAGTGGCATAAACAGCAAGGCCTGTTCCCAGACAGACATGCTTGGAAAAGACCTTTCTCTTCTGTGTCCCGTCACCTCTGGCCATGTATTTACTTGTCATCTGTGGTGACAAAGCCCTCTGGGCTGTCCTCAACACCAGGGCGATCACCTAGAGCTCCTTCAGCTGGACTTACTCCCCTTACCAGGCAGGCAGCCAGCATCTCAGTATGGATTGCCAATCCCATCCTGAGAGTAACTGGGAATAAACACACAGCAGCAGCACCTCGACCGGGACACTGAGATGGCGAAGAATTCCAAACTGTCCTGTCTGTCCAGCTGAGGGTCTGTGTGCTTTGGGAGCCCTAATCCAGTAGGTCCGTGGGCTGCCTTTCTCTCCCTCTCTTAGGAACTAGAGTGTCTTTGCCAGTGTGGTAAGGGGTTGGCTCTGTCCGTAGCAGCCCAGGCAGGAGCCAGAGGCTGGCGAACCCACTGAGCTGGCATGAGACACACAGACCCGGCTCTCACCAGGTTGGATTCTATAAATTTCAGGTAAAGAGTATCCAAACCTGAGATGAGAAGCTGTGGAGGAAAGCAGCCTGTGACTTTAAACGCCATTTGGATCCTTACTGAGTTGGGTGGGTGCCGATGTGGGGGGAAAAGAGCTGTGGTTTGTTCCAGAAGCAGAGGGGGCGCTGTCCCACATTCTATGTCCTGACAGTCCAGCGGCTCTAATGCAGGTCACAGGGCATGGGCACCAGGCTGTCAGTCTGAGAGGAAGACACACACCAGCCTCCCGGTGGGGGTTTGCACCTTCTCCTCGAGCAGGGAGAGGCTGCTTCCCCAGCAGTGACCTCACAGGGAAAGGAGGGCGTGTGGGCTTCGTGGCGTCTCGGGGAGCCCTGCTCTACCCGGGGGGCGAAGACAGCGGAGAGCGGTCACAGAGGGAGGGGCGGGTTTGAGCTTCCCAGGACTGGCTGCTCCCGGGCAGACTCCGGTCACTCAGCGTGTGGCGGGCGGTCACTTTAATTGCAGGCACCCCTGAGCTCGGCGCCGCCGAGCGGAAGGAGCTGGAGAACAAGCTGAAGGAGCGGGAGGAGTTCCTGTTGCCCATCTACCACCAGGTAGCCGTGCAGTTTGCTGACTTGCACGACACCCCGGGCCGGATGCAGGAGAAGGGCGTTATTAACGTAAGTACAGTGGATGCCGCTCCTGGCTGTCAGCTCTAGGGCTCACCAGCAGGAGCCGTTGGGGGCAGATGAAAACTGTGTGCGGGTCAAACTGTTTTCCATATCTTGGAGGGACTTCTCCCTTTTCCTATATCCACTCTCATCCTAAAACAATTCATGATTTAGGTTGCCTCCTGGACTGCTCAGGAGGCAAGCTCCATTCTACTGGTGGGAAACCGAGTCACACGGGAGAGCTGCCCGCGTGGTGCTCAGGCTGCAAATTACTCCAGTGCCAGGGTTCCGGCAGCAGCTCAGACTTGATTTGCGTACAAGTTTTTGTTGCCATCTGCTCAAACCCAGTTCCTCACTGTGGTTATCTGGGAATTCAGAGCTCCTTCCCCAAAACACCGCAGCCAGGAGTGGGGTTACACGTTAGCCAGGCCCAGTGCTGTGGTCAGCAGAGGGGGGTGGGCGTGGGCATCCCGAACTGGGACACATCTGCGGAGCAGGGAGCTCGCAGCCGGCTCCCAAGTCCCTGAGCGGCCACTGGCGAGTGGGTTTGTGCGCCTGTGGAGCTCCCTCTGCACTGGGGTGACTGGTGCCGTTGTTGTCTGTCACAGGACATCCTGGATTGGAAAACATCCCGCACCTTCTTCTACTGGCGGCTGAGGCGCCTCCTGCTGGAGGACCTGGTCAAGAAGAAAATCCACAACGCCAACCCCGAGCTGACAGACGGCCAGGCGCAGGCCATGCTGCGACGCTGGTTTGTGGAAGTGGAGGGAACAGTGAAGGTAGGGGGCGTCCTCGGGGAGCCTCATGCTGTGCTCCCACCTCACCTGAGGGCCCGGCCTCTAAGGGCAGGGGAGGTCGTAGGGCATTTCTTGCAGCTCACTCTCTCAGCAAGCCTTTCTGAATATGCACAAAATACCGGGTGCCGCATTAGGCCTTGGGGACGCGGCAGGTAAAGAGGCCGCTGTTCCTCTCCACCTACGGGAGGGACAGAGTAGTCAGGAGGCCACACACCACAGTGAGACCGAGGCAAACCCAGCACGACCCCGGCCGCCCTGTGGGAGCAGGAGGGGCTCTGGGTAGACTTCTAGAGAACGAAGAGGAACCAGAGGAAGAGGTCGGATTTGGGGGTGCAGGAGGAATGTTCCAAGCAGAAGCCAGAGCATCATGCATTGCAGGTGTTTCCGGGTGGCTGAGAGATTGGGGTCATGCAAGGCCATGCTGAGGGGTTTGAACTTGGCCCTGTGAAAAGCCACTGAGGTATTTTAAGCAGCAGAGACATCGTCTGACTTGGCTGTAGGAAGACTGTTCAGGCTGGAATTGAAGGAAGCAGGAGCAAGACGCCTAAGGTGATGGTGACTGAGGTGGTTGGTGCTGTGGCCGCTATACACCTGATTTCCAAGTGTGAGCTATGAGGCCAGGTGTTCTTAGGTGACCTCATAGAGGGCACGTATGTTCCTTGGAGCAGTGACTCTGCTGAGATGGGGTGCGTCTGTCCCTGGAATCCCGGGAAGACAGAAATAAAAGGTCTAACTTTTTCTTCGTAAGTACAAGAATTTAATCTTTATTAGTATATGGGTTAAAAGTAAGTCACGTACATCATGTAAACATTTCGTCAGAATATTGGTAGAAGGTGCTAGAAACACCTTTTGCTGAGAGCTAAGTGACTGCCAGGCTGGAGTCCCCAGGGACAGCGAGCGGTCTCTTGCATGTTCTCAGGAAGGGGCTCCCGAGTTTGCTGTCGGTGTTAAAGGACCAAATCAGGGTCCTTCTCTAAGATTCCCCTTTGTGTTAAGTCTACCCATGTTTTTACGACTGAAAAGCTTCTCTGGATAAATATTTCAGATGTGCAGCCGGGGGGTGCAGCCTCGTGTGACATTTGGTTCAGGTTAAGGTCAGTCTGTGGCATCATAATTGAGTGAGACAATTTTGTCAGTGGCTACTGGCAGCTCCGAGTGGAAGGTGGCATTGAAAGCCATGCAAGTGTAAAATAAGAGGTTGTTCTCCAGTTAAGAGTGGCTGGCTAGGTAAATGGAGTGTGTGCGTGTGGCCAGGAGGGGCCCGTCCCGCCTTCCTACCACATTAGTCGCTAATGGACGTGTGCGGCCCCAGTGGGCACAGGGATGAGGGGAAGGAATAGCTTTCCTCTGAGCGTGAAGTGAGCGGAGAGTCCTCCATTGCTCCTTAGCGTGCTGCTCCCGGGGGACTGCGTCTGGAGAGAGAGGTCATTTCCACTCTTATCCATGGAGAGGACATGGACTGTGAGGACAGACTCCTGGCTGGAAACCAAGTACAGAACCACCTCGGCCCCAGCTCCCCTTGCCCAGTCTACAAACAGCATCTGCTGAGCCTCAGCCCAGGAGAGAGAGGAGGGCCGGCGACCCTGCGAGATGGCTTTGAAACCTCCTCTGTATTCTGCAGGCTCAGCAGGACCTGGTTTAGTGTGGGGTGGTGATAAAACCTGCAGTGCCATTGAGAGGAGAAACTGTTCAGAGGCCGTGTGCGCTGCCTCGGAAGGGCTGGCATGGAGTCCGTTCGGTGTTTGGGAACGGCTTAAAACCGTCGCTTTTTGTTGGTCCCTCACGTCCTAGATCCTGTGTGGGTGGCTCTCAAGTGCAGGCTGGCTGAGTCTAGACCCCAGCGTAGCACCAAGAAGTGACTCTCTAGTCCTTGTGGTTACTGGTCAGGAAAGACATTTAGTAGTAGGCATCTATTAGCCATGCTGTGTTCTTTTTTCCCAGAGAATTTGCTTTTTTAATCTTAATCCTAAAAAAGGAGATTCTGGGACCAAAAATTTGAACACACTGTGATACTACATAACTGGGTGATGTAATTCTTTTGTTTCCCCCAGAGCAGCAATTTTCAACCTTTTTCATCTCATGACACACACACACAAATACTAATTACCTCCAAAATGAATTCTTAAAAATCAGGTGCCTAGAACTTGTATGTAAAGATATCTGGTACCAAGAATTGACCAATAAGATGCAACTCTATTATATGGCCTTATATATTTATGGTTCAGGGCAGGGCATTCACCCGGGACAGCTGTTGTTTTGGCTGTTGTGTGTTTTTTTTTGTTATGTTTGTTTTTACGATGTAAGGAAAAAGAGTTCAGCGCCCCTGACTAAATAGTCAGGTATTGCATGTTTTTTAAAAATTCTGTGGCTCACCAGTTGAAAATCGCTGCTTTAGAGGAATCCGCTACCATGAGTTGCAGGATTCTGTTTGAGTGCTGGGACAGTCCTGTCATAGGAAATAAGTTTAAATCAAACATGGCACACGTTTATTTCATGGGCATGCTTTCTCTCAATTTTAGATCCACAGTTTGAAGGACTGTGGGGTTTTTTAATCTTAATCCTAAAAAAGGTGATTCTGGGACCAAAAATTTGAAGACAATTGGATGATGTAATTCTTAGGGTTGGCACACTGATCCCCTTCTCCCCCCGCGATAATAAAAACTGCTCCATGCAGAGTTCAATATCAATTTTAATGGGTCCTAAAACATGAATTTGGAATCTCAAACTTTTTGGATCCCACCTTTGCCACTTACTGATCAGACATCCTGTTTAAGCCTGTTTCCTGTGTGAGATGGGGGTGATGTTTACTTCCCAGGGTTCAGTGAGACTTAACGTGAGTAACGTGTGGAGCACAAGGACTGGCATTCAGTAAACAATGTATGCCCGTTTCTTCCTCTCTCAGCACAGCTTGTTAGACAGTAAGAAAATTAAAGATGTACAACTCAGTGATCTTGCAGGAGGGCGGTGGTTCAAGAGCATGGTAGATTCTCACTGACCTTCGTTTTGCTTTGGCTTGCTCTAACTTATCCACAACCCAAGACACCAGAATACCTCCTTCCTCTCCAGATATCTACTCATCCCCAGGGCCTGGCCTCAGGTTACCCATGGTCTATGTATCAAGCTCCTGATGTAGGCCAGGGAGGCTGGAGGTAAGGCAGAACCTGAGACTAGAGTGGCGCTCAGGAGACCCCAGCCCACACGGCTGTTTGCTGTCTGCTCCAAAGCCTCCAAAAAGTCCCATTGCTGAGGTGTCTCCAGGCCACTCCTGGGTGAGTCAGCTGTGGGGCATGGTCATCAGGCTCCCTGGCCCTGCCATACCACTGATTAAAGAGGGCTTCACAGCGATCGGTAGGTTAGAAATGAAACTTTGCAAACAGGTCATTTAGATTTTGTAAGATAGACTAATTACTACACACAATTAGTGAGGCTGAGCAGTGCTGGAGATACTTACTTGCTGATGCGGAGAGTGATAACGTGCCTACTGAACATTATTGTAAGACCACTGTAGGGATGTTTAATCATCGATATTTTATTAGTTTTTAAATTTTCTGATTGGGATGAGTGTCAGCCCTGTTGTGAGGTTAACCGCCCAGCATTACAAACTCATTTAAAATCAACACTGGGACACTAGGAATAATGAGCCACATTTTTATAATTTTCAGAGGGAAATGATAATGGGTTGGCACACTGTTCTGAGAGGGCAGGTGAGGACTCCCTGACCCAGCAGGAGCGTCCCTTGCTTTTCCCCGGGGAAGGAAGCTGGCTCACAGCATCCTCCCACGGCTGATGGGAAAGCCTGTGGGTGCTGACGTTTGTTTATTCTTGCTGAGAGTGCAGCTCAGTTAGATCTGCGACCCTCCTGGGCCAGCACCGCGAGCTGAACTGAAGTGGGATTGGACTGTTGGCTGCCATCCACTTGCTCTACTGTGAACAGTAGATCGTTCACAGAAGGACATTTTCAAAGGGGAGACGTTAGAGCAACCATTCTAACACTTGGGATGATGTGTTGCCCTTCTCCTGTCGAGGAATGTGTTTTTGTTTAATTTAAAAAACACCTAGCACATTCTGTGGCTGCACGAGGGGAAGACGGGAGTTTTCTCAAGAGGGCAGCTGGCTTCCCAGTGTAGTGTCTGAGCATCGTTAGAAGCAGGCATCTCGTTAGCTAATACATTACACCAATCAAAGACCATTATCTTAAGCCACAATTAATCTGCTCCCTGGCATATGTTGATAGGAAAGCATCATGCTGTTTCTTAATTAAAAGCAAACGGATTAAAAATGATTAATAAGAGTATTAAATATTCTCCTAAATGAAAGGCTTTGGGATTCTTGGGTAAACCTAGTTGGTTTTTTTTCCATCAGAAACCCAAGCCGTAGCCATTGTTTTAGTTCTCCTACCTCCAGAGCGCCGTCAGAGGGCACGGTGTGAGGTCCCGGAGCTAACGCCCACCTTTCCGGCGATGGAGCTGCAGCGTCCAGGGTCCCGGCGAGTCCTGGGGAAAGCGTAGGCACCTCCTTCCCCCCTCCGGCTCCGAGGTGTGTCAGCAGCCCTGAGCAGGCCCAGCGAGGGGGGAGGCTCGCTCAGGTTCGCACCACCGTGGCCGCAGCACCCTGACCAGGAGACCTGGTCTCTCCAGCAGTGATCACAGAGATGGGCAGAGAGCTAGGAAAGGCACATTGCTGATCCGGGGCTCCCAGGCCTTCAGCTGTGAAAGACTCTAAGAATGGTTGGAAATGTGGAGTCACTTATACGACATATAGTAAATAGCCAGTCACCTCTGACTTGCCAGCTAAGTTAGAGGTGGGTAGTAAGTGAAAAGAAACCATTATTGTTAAAGGCACAAAACAGGAAGTTAGAAATCAGGACTGGTTCTCCTGAAGGGAGTGATGCGGGCACAACTGTGTAGACCCCGGTTTCCTGAGCCTCAGTGTCTCTAATGCACCCTCCTATTAAGTAACAGCACCAAACTCATTGTCATTCTGACTTTGACTTCGTTAGTGATAACAGAGAAGGATAGCGCACCTTTAAATGACGAGCTTTGTGTTTAATTACCCAAACAAAATGACATAAATATGAATGAGCCCTAATGGAGGTACTTGGTTTTCCGGAAACCATTAACAAAACGATTCCTAAATGATTTGTAAAGAAAATGAGAGAAGAAGAGCAAGGCTATTAGGTTCCTAACACACTCCTGAGTTATTATGTAGTCAACTACCTAGGAAATACTCAGCTAAATGATCTTGAAAAAAAAGAAAGCGAGAGGGGTTTGTTGGGTCTCAGGGTTACAGGCGTCTTGACCATTTGGAAGAGGCTCATCGGGAGTAAAAGGGGTTTGTGAGCCAGTGCCTGTCCCCCTGCGGCAGGTCCTTCCTCCGGGCAGGAGACCGCCACGCCAGGCAGCAGCGCCTGGGTCTCAGGTCCTCAGAAAAGACACGTCATTTTCAACCACCAAACAGCCAGCACTTTCCTAGTCTCCTCAGCCTTTGTGGACTCGGTAGAGACCTAGAGGGACAGGCCAGCGCCAGAGTGTGGGCACTGATGCCCCTAGAGGGACCCCGAGGATGGCTCCCAATCTCCATCCGGGGCCAGAGGAGGAAGGGGAGGATGAGGGCAGCACCTGTCTCCTTATTCTGCAATGTCAGCAGTAACAACCCATTCTCCAAGCATCGAACAATCAGGGGGTCCGGTGTGGCCCCGGTGTTTGACCGGGTCCATCTGTTTACAGGCCTACATTTGGGACAACAACAAGGACCTGGTCGAGTGGCTGGAGAAACAGCTGGCAGAGGAGGACGGCGTTCGCTCAGTAATAGATGAAAACATCAAATACATCAGCAGAGATTACGCCCTCAAGCAGATCCGCAGGTGAGCGCAGTGGGGGGCTCACCTCTTTGGAACAAAAGATTTAAGAACAAATCTGGAGATGGTGACGCCTACAGTCTTGGTGGCCTCCCTCTACCAGAGACGGCCGTGGTGACCCACAGACAAACAGCCCTGCAGCGCGTCCCTCCCAGCTAGCTGCGGACTTAGCTCATTGTGCCCAGCCGATCTCTCGGTGCTCCGAACGGCGATCGATCCTGGGAGGAAAGTGATGGCGCAGTTTCCGGGGGAGCCGCCGCCTCTCTCCTCCTGCAGCTTCTCCATCGCAGGGGCAGGGACTGCGGGAGCCTCTTTTAAAGTGTTTCATTTGGAAGCATTTTACTTACAGAGAAGTTGAAAACTAAAAACAATGCAGTTGAAAACTAAAAACAATGCAAAGAACAAATCTGTGCCCAGATGCACTTCTTACCCCATTGGCTTGATCACTCTCCTGTCTAATCCATACGTAAGCTGCTCGCTCTGAGTTTCTCGGCTGTTCCCCGATTAGACTCAGCGCATAGGTGCTCAGCCAGAACATCGTGCACATGGGGAGGTGGCCTTCACGGGCCCACATCTGGAGCCGCAGGATGCCATCTGCCCCTCCTCGTGTTCGTTTCAACCCTCCGGTCACGACGTTGCTCAGTTTCTCCCCTTTTGTCACTGATTTCCCCCTTGTACCTAGTAAGCAGTTTTGGGGAGACACTTCAGGGTGGCTGGGACTGAGGAGGCCTGATGGAGTTTGGAGAGTTACCAAAAGATTGGATCAAGCAAGCAGCAGCCATGGAGGCTAACGTCCTGTACTCATCAGAAATTTCACCTGGATTTAGCCTCCATGGCTGCTGCTTGCTTGATCCAATCTTTTGGTGACTCTCCAAACTCATCAGGCCTCCTCAGTCCCAGCCACCGCTCCCATTCTGCTACAGGCAAGTCCTCTCTCCTCCATTCATTACAGATTCACTACTGGTTTACGTAGTGGATTTCTATTTTTCAGTAGCTTCTAATTCATTTTTTGATGCCCCAGATTTAACCAGTGGGCAGACCTTCATGCTGACTCCACGAGCGCCCGGCCAGGCCCCATTGGCTTTTGCTCGGTGCAATGTGTCAGGTTGACCTTGCCGCCTCCCTTGCTGCCGTGGACATTTTCCATTAGGAAATGGCCAGGTGCTGCTGCCTCTTTTCCTCACCTCCCAAACCTTCCTCTGCAGCTTGGTCCAGGCCAACCCAGAGGTCGCCATGGATTCCATCGTCCACATGACCCAGCACATCTCACCCACTCAGCGAGCAGAAGTCGTCCGGATCCTGTCCACCATGGACTCCCCTTCGACGTAGGGAGAGCCCCTGCCCCCGCCCTGCCCCCAGAGAAAAGGGCTAGACTAGAGCTGCCTTTTACTACGGAAACCACTGTCACAGGAAGGCACCGGCGACCCAGCACTGGAATCAAACTGGCATTTCCTTCCCCTCGAATGTTTCAGGTTCTGTGTGGGACACAGGGTCTCAGAGCCGCGCTCCAGCCCCGTCACACCTGTCCTGTTCAGTATTTATTACTCTGCACACAGCCAGAAGGCAATGAAGGGTACGCACACGTACCATGAGGTCTTCCTACCCAGAAGCAGGGCTGCCCAGGGCCCCAGCCCAGGGACGTGCCAGGCAGTCAGCAGCCCTCCCCCGGCCCCGGGAGCCTGCACCCCAGGTAGCAGGGGAGGGCTGGGCTGAGGAAGAAGCCTCATGTCCATCATTTCTTTACCCCCACCTTCAGCCCGGCACACACTAGCCCTGGAGAGGAATCATGCCCAGCCTCATCACACCAAGGTACTGTTTGTGGAGGAAAATAGAGCATGAAATTGGCACGCTCCATGGGAACTTGAAGATGAAGGCAAACCTTGATCCAGGGAGCGGAGAGAGAAAACAGACCTGGTAGCTCAGAGGCCTCAACGTTAGGTCATTTCTCTCGGAACAAATGGGGACCTACCACTCCCTGCAGGTCACTGCCCAAGGCCAGTGCGGGGAGCTGCCTCTGTCCCTGCTGGGAAGTAGTTTCTCCTTTCAGACCTGGGAGGTTGTCACAGAGTCGCTGTCTCCATTTCCAGGGCAGCAGGTCTCCCCGCCGCTGCTGACACCTGTGCTCTCTGCACCGGGACCCAGCTCCACGCCCCACGCCCCCCTCTTGGTGCTGCTGTCTTCCAGCTCACGGCTCTACCCACAGGGGCCCCACACGGGTGGTGGAGTTTATTCAAGGACAGAGCTTACTGGTTCCCCCGATGGTATTCCTAAAGCAAGAGTGGCAGGTGACGAGGCTGGTGCAGCACCCATTCCTACAGAGCAGCTAATTGCATTTGTCACCGGTGACCAAGGAAGAAATCACTAAGACGTCTTAGAAGCACTGACATGAATACTGTATACAAGCTACAGTTTGAGCCTTAACCCTGTAGTTCACAAGAAAGCTCCACTTCTCCTCCTCTGGGAACAGTCTGTGCCGATGGCACTGTGTGGCTGGGTCTGTTACTGACACACACACTCCCCCTTCCCCCGGAGCATGGGGCCTCGGCCAGGCTGCCCTGATAAAGGTATAGTGTTTGGCACGATCGGAGGAGAGTGGGAAAAGGTAGGGAACTATCGGTCCAGGAGGCAGCATCCACCGTTGCTAGTATCTGCTAACCCAGTAAGAATTGACTTCATCTCTGACCAGATCATTCCTCTCCGCTTTCCTGCAATAAATAAAGCGATGCGCACCGACAGCCGGTGTGAAGCCTGCTCTCCAGCGGCCTGTGCTTGCCCGGCCTTTCCTCAGAGGCAGAGTGGGTTTCTCTCCTGTGCCTCTCCCCTCTGCAAATTATGACACATTAAACGAATCCATTTCCTCTCTAGACCCCTGTAATGCCGACTGCTCCATCTCCAGAGCACCTCACGTTAGGTCTTACCCTGGGCAGGGGTTTTCCACGGGGAGAAGAGGGAGGAGCCACAGTGAGCCAGCTGACAGCCACAGCCCCCTTGCACAGGCAAGGTCGCCGAGGCAGGCGGGCAGCCAAGTACGGACCAGGACGTGCTGGACTGAGACTGCCACGTCCCCCCACCTCGTTCACAGAGCAGCCTTCACTTGCCTCATTGGAAGTTCGATGGACACACCCTGATGAGCAAGGAGCTTCAGTCAAATCTTTTCACATTTTGTTGAAATAAACCTCCAGTTTTTAGAAGAGTCACTGCTTGTCATTTCAGCCCCGGTGGCTGAGCCCCGTCATGCTGAAAGACCCCAGGGGAGGAAACCCAGGAGTGTGTGCCTCCGCCCGCTGCCTCAGTTCCTCTCTGGTTCCATGCGGTTGAAGCGAGAACGGGCACCGATCCCTAAACATGTGCAGACAGGTAGCGGCCAGAGAGAGGAGGGGAGGCACTGACCTCTACCTATCAATGGTTACATCGGTGCTGTGTCTGTCTGCCTGGGATGTAGCACTAAGCAAAGGGTGGCTTTCTCCAAAGGGGAATAAATGTTACACCCACATATTGCCGGTTTGAGCCACCCTACGCTAGGTGCTCGAGAGATGGGAGAAGGGAGGTTCAGGATCCGGGGAATTTGCTTCTCCCCGCCTTCGGCTGCTGTGCTCCGTGGGCAGGCAGCCCCGGTCAGCATTAGGCCTCAGCCTTCCCTCCTGTTGGGGAGTGATATTTCTTTCCGTCTTCTCAATAAAAGAAACATTTTCATTTCCACTGATAGCACTTAGGGGTAATAAGATTGAACATTGAGGGCTGTGTAATCTAATCATGGATCCCTTTGGGTTTCCCAAACTGGGAAACAACACAGCGACAAACGCAAATGCCCAGTGCCGTCACAGGGAGGACCCTTCCCGCACCGTTTGTGAGGCACAAGGCTCAGTGCCAGGCTGTGGTGAGAGCCCGGAGAGGCGCTGGGCCAGGGGGACGCCTTCCCTTACATGCTGGCTCCTCCTCTGGGCGAAGCCTGGCTTCCCTGGCCCATGGTGAGGCCGTGTGTGTGGTGTGCAGGCAGAGAGGCTTCCAGCTGGGAGAGAAGTCAGGGTGTCCCAATTCAGGGCACCAACATTCATCAAGTTATTCCAGGGACGCTAGATCGAAGCACAGCCCCGTCTAGGGGGAGGGTGGACAATGGAACCTGACACTGAAGACCTGTAAGTGCTGAGCCGAAGAAGAGGCACCTTAAGATGGTTTGGGCACATGGGAAGATGGGATATAAAGATTTCGAAACAAGAAAAGGTTTAGAAAGCAGCCTAATTGATGGAAGGAGCCCAGCTTTAGGTGCCAAGCTCAGCCCCAGGAGCGTATGTCCCTCAGCTGGAGGGGGCGCCCAGATAGTGAGGCCAGGCCACCCCGAGAGGCCTGGGTGTAATGGGTGACTCTCCACTGTTTTCATTTCTCCAGAAACCCTGTGTGTGCCTCAGGCAGCACAGGCTCACGTGCCAGTTTGTCTTTCTGATGACTAAGGGTTTTAACAACCCAGGAAGTAGTACTGGCTATCTCATGCCAGCCAGAGCTCCAGCGGGCAGTTCGGAATAAAGAATGGGGATGGGGCATCTTCATAAAGGCAGAATGTGGGCACGCAAAATCTTCCAAAACACCAGTGAGGGGAACAGCAGGATGAGAACGGAACCTCAGCTCGGAGGGCACTTGGGTCCACCCAGAGGGCTCAGCCCTTCGCAACTAGAAGGAAACGAGATAGACTAGCTCAGAGGGGGTTGAATGATGAGCCTAATCCCAACATTGTGGTTCTATGACTAACCTTCTGGAGTTAGCAGGAAGGATTAAGGGTGAGGAGAGAGAAAAACAACTGAAGACATCCAGAACCTCAAGAAAAAGCTGACAGCACTCTTGGCCATAAGGTTCTTTGATAGCCAGTTAGAAGAACCTGGATTCTAGAATAAGCCTGAACTGGGTTCAAATATCAGATCCCCCACTCCTCCCCTTAGGCAATTTCCTGATCCTAAATCTGTGAAATGTGGATAGCAACAAGGACCTCAGAGGGGCTTTTGAATAATTACTTAAATTAGTTCATATGAACCAATTAGTGGGTATTAGTAACAAATTTTCAAATGTCAGATTTCTGCATACCCTGCCCCTTCCTTACGCTCACAAGAGGACACCTGCCATCACTCAGAACCTTCCTCAGAGGGCATTTCCAGAGAACCATCCCCTTATAAAAGCAGGCGCTAGGGACTGTCTCTGGGCGTTGAGCCACATGGGCGTTATGAGGAAGTAACCAGTGAGGAGTGCTATAGTCTGAATATTTGTGCCCCCTCCCCCACCAAAGAAACTGACGTGTTGAAATCCTAACTTCAACAAGTGATGGTATTAAAAGTGGGGGCTTTGGACCATGCTTCCGTCCGGAGGGTGGGGCCCTCATGAATAGGATTAGTGCCTCATAAACGAAGATCCTGAGAGACCCCTTTCCATCATGTGAGGATACAAGGCTCATCATGCTGGCTCCTGGATCTCAGACTGCCAGCCTCCAGAGCTATAAGAAATAAATTGTTGTTACAACCACCCAGTCTGTGGTGTTTTGTTACGGCAGTCCACGTGGACTAAGACAAAATCTTGGGCCAGGAATGGGTGCTGCTGTAACTCACCTAAAAATGTGGCAGCAGCTGGGTATAGAGGGATGTGCCTCAACATCATAAAGGGCCATATATGCAGACAAGGCCATAGCTAGCATCACACTCTACAGCTGGAGGATCAGGAACAAAACATGGAAGCTCCTTTATCCAACTTACACTGGAAGTCCTCACCAGACCAATCAGGCAAGAGGAAGAAAGAAAAGGCATCCAAATTGGAAAGGAAGTAAGACACTTCATGTGTAGATAGCATGATATACACAGAAAACCCTAAAGACTCCAAGAAACTTAGAACTAATGAATGAATTTAGTAAAGTTGCAGCATACAAAATGAATATAGAAAAGTCAGTTACATTTATTTACACTATTAATGAACTATCAGAAAGAAATTAAGGCCAAAACCGGTTTGGCTCAATGGATAGAGCGTCAGCTTGGGGACTGACGGGTCCCGGGTTCGATTCCGGTCAAGGGCATGTACCTTGGTTGCGGGCATATCCCCGGTGAGGGGTGTGCAAGAGGCAGCTGATCGATGACTCTCATCGATGTTTCTAACTCTCTCCCTTCCTATCTGTACAAAATCAATAAAATATATATTTAAAAAAATAAAAAAAAGAAATTAAGAAAACAACCCCATTTATAATTAGATTTTTAAAGAAGAATAAAATACCTAGGAATATATTTGACCAAGGAGGTCAAAGATCTGTACACTGAAAATTATAAGATGAAAGAAACTGAAGGCACAAGTAAATGGAAAGATACTTGATGTTCATGGATTGGAAGGATTAATATTGTTAACATGTCCATACTATTCAATTCAGTCTACAGATTCAATGCAATCTGTATAAAAATTCTGTTTTTTCACAGAAAGAAAACTATCCTAAAATTAGTATAGAACCACAGAAGACCCTGAATTGCCAAAGCAATCTTGAAAAAAAAACAAGCTGGAGGCATCACACTTCCTGATTTCAAACTATATCACAAAGCTATAGATATCAAAACAGTATGGTATTGGCATAAAAAAAGAGATGCAGCCGGGACCAGTTTGGCTCAATGGATAGAGCGTCGGCTTGGGGACTGAAGGGTCCCGGGTTCGATTCCGGTCAAGGGCATGTACTTTGGTTGCGGGCATATCCCCAGTGGGGGGTGTGCAAGAGGCAGCTGATCGATGACTCATCGATGTTTCTAATTCTCTATCTCTCTCTCCCTTCCTCTCTGTACAAAATCAATAAAATATATATATAAAAAAAAAAAAACCAGATGCAAAGATCAATGGAACATAATAGCCCAGAATATATGGACAATTAATTTACAAGTAAGGAGCCAAGAATATAGGAAAGGATGGTCTCTTTAATAAATGGTGCTGGGAAAACTGGACAGCCATATGCGATAAAATAAAAGTAGACCTACATCTTGCCGGAACCGGTTTGCTCAGTGGACAGAGCATTGGCTTGCGGACTGAAAGGTCCCAGGTTTGATTCCGGTCAAGGGCATGTGCCTTAGTTGCGGGCACATCCCCAGTAGAGGGTGTGCAAGAGGCAGCTGGTCAATGATTCTCTCTCATCGATGTTTCTAACTCTCTATCCCTCTCTCTTCCTCTCTGTAAAAAAAATCAATGAAATATATGTTTTTTTTAAAAGTAGACCCATATCTTACACCATACACAAAAATCCACTCCAGATGGATTAAAAACTTGAGTCTGGAAGTATCACTTGAAACCATAGAACTCCTAGAAGAAAACATAGGGGCTCAGCTCCTTGACATCTGTCTTGGCAATGATTTTTTGGATTTGACCCCCCAAACAGAAATAAACAAGTGGGACTACATCAAACTAAAAAGCTGCACAGCAAAGGAAGCAAGCAATAAAATGAACAAGAAGGTAGCCTACAGAATGGAAGTAGTATTTGCAAGTAATATCTTTGATAAAGGGTTAATAGCCAATATATAAAGAACTCATAACAATAGTAAAACAACAGACAAACCATGATCTGATAAAAAAGAAAAAGAAAAAAAAGAAAAAGGACAGAGGAATTGAATAGACATTTTTCCAAAGATAACAAATGGCCATAAAAAGGTAAAGATAGCCGAAACCGGTTTGGCTTAATGGATAGAGCATCAGCTTGGGGACTGAAAGGTCCTGGGTTCGATTCCGGTCAAGGGCATGTACCTTGGTTGCGGGCATATCCCCAGTGGGGGGTGTGCAAGAGGCAGCTGATCGATGTTTCTAACTCTCTATATCTCTCCCTTCCTATCTGTACAAAATCAATAAAATGTCTTTAAAAAAAAAAAAAAAAAGGTAAAGATACATTAATAGGTGCTCAACATCACTAATTATCAGAGAAATTAATCAAAAGCACAGCCATTCTGCCGAAATTGGTTTGGCTCAGTAAATAGAGTGTCGGTCTGCGGACTGAAGGGTCTCAGGTTCAATTCGGTCAAGGGTATGTACATTGGTTGCAGGCACATCCCCAGTGGGGGGGTGCAGGAGGCAGCTGGTCGATGTTTCTCTCTCATCGATGTTTCTAGCTCTCTATCCCTCTCTGTAAAAAATCAATAAAATGTATTAAAAAAAGAAAGAAAGAAAAAAGCACAGCCATTGTAACAGGATAAGTGTTGGTGGAGA